AGTCGCAGCTGCCTGAGAGTGGGATGGCCTGACAGAGAGAGTACACCGAGATCTCCGTTAAAATGTTCACACGGAGCAGGGACACCTGCTCGGCAGGGCCTGGAGAGGAGGTCCCCACTGTGGCTGGTGCGGCCCCCATGGGCCCCTATGAAACACACGGACATCCAATGGCATAATGGGAACAAGAAAACTCGCAAACCTAGGCACACCACCAAGCCCATGTTACTGAAGTCTTGTTGCGCAAGCGCTGGAGGTGTGTGCTTTCTGGGAAGAGACACAAATGTTAGGAGCACAAACTGTGCACGGGAGGGACCCTTCCAAGCTGATACCCAGGCTTTCCATGGGGGGATGTACTTATGGGTTTGTAAGTCTCGGAGTGGGGAGCTGGGGTAGGTCAAATTTAGAGCTGCCCACTGTTAGAGGAAAGGACAAAAATATTCCTTCCTGATGGCCTACTGTTAGCACTACTACAACACTGCTTACTTGGCATACCCTACGGACCTTAACTCAATGCTAGGGAAGTAACAGTATTTACTGACTTACCCATTCACGCAACACAAATGTGTTAGGCATTGTAATCGTTACGGAAGCACCGCGTGGCCACTCAAGACACAGCAGAAAACAAGATGGATAAGGTCATTCTTACTTTCTCCACAGTAAGCCAGCAGGCAACTACAAGTAACGATACGCAATAACTGTTTGTGCTTTAATGGAGATAAGCAGGGAAGAGAAAACGGGGTTGAGAGACACGCCTGATTTTCCCAGGCCGGTGAAGAATGGCTAAGGAGGGGTGAGAGGGCGGGGCCGGCCTACAGCTACAGGGAGACTGTCGCAGGCAGAGGGAAGCCAAGTGCAAGCCTAGGGCAAGAAAGAGCTTGGCCTGTTGAAGCCTTGAGATGGAGCTGAGACTGGAAACGGGAGCAGGAACCAGCGCCCCCGGGTGTGAAGCTGGATCTCCGCCACCACGTGAGTGGGACGCTGCGGGAGAGGCCCCTCCTGGAAACATCCTTCAGGCTTCTGTGTAAAAACTAGATTCCAGGGTATCAGTGTAGAAACAGAAGTAGGACATGCTTGCAGGCAGGAGAAAATGGTGCTGAAGAAACATCTGTAGAATTATAGCTGTTACTAGAAAGAAAGACTGGTTTGCTGTCCATTAGGAAGTACTGACTTAACCTCCTTCGGGCTGGGGTGCTGGTGGGCAGACACTGGTCTAGTTTCTAACCCAGTCCTGCTGCCCCAAACACCTGCTGAGCCTTCCCCAGGAGTTCGACAGCAAAGATCCCTGCACAGCTTCTGTATTCTGGACTCTGAATCATCAAACCTTGCTCTTGTCTGAAAGAGAGCCCATCTATAGCTTCACATTCCCACAAAAAGCCAGAAAACAATGTATCATTCTGGATGAGGGTTCCAAACCTATTTTCAACCACAGGTGGGGGGGGGGGTTGTGAAAAAGAGAACAAATTTGGAAAACTTGCAGCGAGGTGTCTGAGTCAACAACTGAATGACCTAAAATAAACAAACAAACAAATAAATAAATAAATAAGTAAGTAAATAAATAAATAAATGTGCTCGGCGCCCTCGGGTCCCAGTTCTTATTCTGTCACACAGATGTTCGGCAATGGAACGAGGAAGTTAATTACTTTTCTATGACACGTATGTATTTTGTGAGACACCGCATTGCACCAGTTAATAATGATCTACCTTCTGTTGACACAAAATGTTTAAATTAATAAAAACCTAAATGATACATCTCATAGCAAAGCAAACTTAATTGAAAGGCTGGATGGCAGGAGTAGCAATTTTCCTGGGTAAAAATTATCGAGATGTGCTTATGGTAGCGTGAAAAGCTCAATCAGTAAAGGGACTCGTGTAGGCAAACTGCTCTCAAGAATACGTACTTCACAGAAAGGGCCAGCCGTGTGTCCCTGACTGCTGACGTCGCAGTGGTGTGACTGTCAGAGAAAGAAACGGGCGGGGAGGGCCAGTAATTGCCCATAACTGACAATATTAGTGATTTTACATTCAAACTCGTCCGTTCCATCCATCTTTAGGGTCTGAAATGACAAATGCAAAAAAAGGGTAGAAACCAGCCCTTGAAGCTCTGCTGTTAATATTAAAAATCTGCCTGTTGTCCACTGACTGTACCCTTGGTAACTGGATCTTAAGCCAACAGCATCATGGAAACAGTCTGTTGTTCCCAAATGATATAGTGGTATTAGATTACCTCAGAAAACTCCAGATAGCCTCGGAAGCAGGCTCCCAGCACTAGGGTGGAGGGGCACACGCTGCATAAACTTGATGGGGGTGTCTTGTGTAAGCCTCGAAACTGTCCAAAGGGAAGTCTGAAACCCAAGACCCCGTGTGGTCATTCTGCTACTTTCCACTGATTCGGGGTAAAGAACAAACACAGTCTACCACCTTTCTTTCATTTTTAAACTACACCCCCCCGTCACTTCTCTCCACCACTTAATCTTGTTAAAAAACGGAACAGAATACACACTGAAACAAAGCAAAATATTGGGGCTCAGGTCAGGAAGTGACTTTTATTTCTGGCACGACTTGTTTTTTTCTGGGGTGCGGATGCTCAAAGACCGGGGGAGGATATTGTCTTCGTACAAGCCTCCATAGTGGCCATTCCACACCCTGGGCTGCCCTGTCCTTGTTACTTAAAGCAGGCTTTGTCCGTGGGGACCAAGAGACTATTGCGACGTGCAGCCGGGCCTGGTATGGTAAGTTTAGGCACAGACCTAAGAGGCCTAACCCTTTACTCATTATTTCCCTTTTTTGCGTTGCTCTTTGAGGGGTTCTGTTAGCAGGGTCTTCTTTTAGGTCTTTGAGTCAGAGCAAATGCTTACTGGCTGTGTGTCATGGGACTTGACAGATAAAGGTGAAAATGGCCCAAACCCAGAGGGGGTGATTTTTTACAAAATCGAATTTGATAGGTAAAAATGTATAGTGTAAAATACGTGATATTTTTTAAATTTGTTTTTTTTAAACCTTTTTAAGTAACCTCTACACCCAATACGGGGCTCGAACTTACAACCCTGAGATCAAGAGTCACACGCTCCACTGACTGAGCCAGCCAGGTGTCCCAAAATGTGGGCTTTAAAGAAAAAAATCTCCAAACACCTAACTTATCCAGGGATTTATCCAAGTCAAAGGATTCCAGAACTTGAGGCCTGGGAAGCTTCTAGGGAACTTGAGAGATCAAACAAAAGGGAAAGACTGTTCTCAGAAGACCTATGCAGAGAAAGGCCCACCATGTCTTTAAAAAAAAAAAAAGTTTCAGAAAATCAGAAAGTTCAGAAGATCTAAAAACCTGTAGTTTAAGTGTATTTCCCCAAGCTCGGCAAAGACCAAACAAAGTCTGGAAAGCTCCTATTCACTCGGTCCTTCCTTAGGAGCCTGCTGTGTACACACTAGAGATTTTCTGGTCCCCTTGCTTTTTTTATATCTATTTTTGAGAGAGAGAGAGAGCACGAGTGGGGGAGGTTTAAAGAGAGGCGGGGCAGAGGATCTGTCAGCACGGAGCCTGATGCGAGGCTTGAACTCACGACGTAGCCGATGTTGGAGGCTCAATTGACTGAGCCACAAAGGCGCCCCTTTCCTGGTCCCTTTTTAAGTTACGGGGCTGCTGGACAGAGTGAACTGACGCTTCAGAAAACAGCTCAGGAAGGACACTGTTCCGGGTCTCGTGCTGAGCCAACAGGCAACCACAGGAAACCCAAGAGGTGAGTGCTCACGGTTTTTACAGCGATGTTAACGGACCTTATTCAGAGCATTAAGCAGCTGTAAAAAGTAGACATTCACTGACAGGATGTCAAACGTGGGCCATTTTCCTCAGCTTCTGAGGCGGCGTTTGTTGATCCCACTGAGGAATTTCCCCACGCTGAATGCGGCCTCACTGCTTAGGAATAATTAACGTGTTTTTATTCCAGTTGTAGAAAACACAATTTATTAACTGGCTGCCGCTTTATGTGTTATTTTAAAAGGCACAGTGAAGAGAGAAGCCAGCCTGCGACGGCACGGAGACAACGCCAGGCGGGCTGCGCTGTGAGGCCCCGCAAGCTGCCCCCGAGGCGAAGGCCGCGCACACGTACACGGAGCGGGTTCCTGACGAAGGCGCAGGCAGCTGTGGTCCGGGCGCTCGGGCCTGGAGTTCCCCGAGAGACAGAAAGGCATTACCGCCGCCTTAATCACTCCAGGATTCAGCTCGTGTTTCGAAACAAGAGACAGAGGAGGCCCAGGTCTCTCGCTACTTTTCTGAGCTCCCAGGGTCTGAAAATGCCTTGGCAGCAGAGGGTGAAAGAAAAGAAAGCAGGAGATACGCTGAGGTCCGCAAATGAGGCGACACCGGGAAGCACGTTCAGACGGGGAGCCGCCGCCCCTCCTCCGCACTCCGTCCTCGCACAACTGGTAAACATGCCGATCTTCCACCGAAGCTCCCAGAAACAGCCTGTAAGCAGAGCGCCATACCGGGGGGTATGGCGTGGACCCAGTAACTTCGCCCTCTTTGTGGGGAAGGGGGAGGGGCTGCGTGGCGCGCGGAGGCGCGGGGAAGGGGGAGGGGCTGCGTGGTGTGCAGGGGCGCGGGGAAGGGGGAGGGGCTGCGTGGCGCGCGGAGGCGCGGGGGAAGGGGGAGGGGCTGCGTGGTGTGCAGGGGCGCGGGGAAGGGGGAGGGGCTGCGTGGCGCGCGGGGGCGCGGGGAAGGGGGAGGGGCTGCGTGCCCTCTGAAAGCCCTTCTTCTGAGAGCCCCGCTAGGGTCCGGCCTGGCGTCAGAATTCCTGTTTCTCCTTCCTCGTGCACCAGTTTCTGGCTGTTTGTCGCTGCGTGTGCCCCGATGCGTTGCGGCTGTTACCCACAGGCAGCCCGCCCTCGCCCTTCCTGACCGGCTCCCCAGCCCCCTCCGCGGCGCAAACGCACACTCCGCCTGGCACACCCGCCCCTCCCCCGGACCACCGGCCTCGCCAGCTTGTATCCTTGCGGACACTGAACACGTGCAGTTCCCGGATCCTCTGTCCTCTCCGGACCTCGGGGACAGTTCGCGGCAGTGTCCCCAGCCCGGGACGCTCCCTCTGAAGGTACTGCACCGCAGACTCCTCCACAGCCATTGCTCGCTTCCCTGCGGTCCTCCCTGACCCACCGGGGGCTGTCTCCTCGCCCCCGCCCCGCCCCCACCGCACTTGGCTCAGGCTGGCGGTGCGGTGACCTGCACGCGGTCTGCGCCCTGTCTCCACACTAGATGGGAAGACACGTGCGGGGCGGGTGCCCTGTTCCCATAGAGCCCCGCAGATGGGATACCGGCAGCCACTCCTAAATACTCGAGGAGAGGAGGGGGCGCGGGGGAAAGGACGGAGAGAAGGAAGCACTCAAGCAGGCCTGCCGAGAGACCGGAGGCAGATGTAATCGTCGGTGGGTCAGAAGCCCAAAAATGGACCCCTGAGTCTTCCTAAGTTGTAAGCAGCAGCAGCAGCCTGATTTCCGGAGGGTTTATGCTCGGCCCGAGGACAGAACAGACTTGCTCCAAATCACAGCCTCATTGGGAATGTGGCTCCGGGACTAGCCTCCTCTTACAAGACCAGCCCGGTCTCTCCCTCCCAGCTGGGTGGCGGAGGCTTTAGCGAACCTTCCTCCAGAGGCTCGGACAGACATTATCATCAGAATGTGCTAACTTATCGGGCGGCCACACCAATCTAAGAACAAACTGTTTCCTGATTTATTTCTGTAGTTCAGTTACCCAAAGGGCTTGAGAAATTGGATGAAGGTAACAGTTCAGGCCCTTTAAAATGAGGAGTAAACAGGGGCGCCCGGGGGCTCAGTCGCTTGACTTCCGACTTCCGCTCAGGTCATGGTCTCACAGTTCGTGGGTTCGAGCCCCGCATCAGGCTCTGTGCTGACAGCTAGCTCAGAGCCTGGAGCCTCCTTCAGATTGTGTCTCCCTCTCTCTCTGCCCCTCCCCTGCTCATGCTCTCTCTCTCAGAAATAAATATAACATTAAAAATTTTTTTTAAAAAAACGAGTAATAAACAAATGGAAATGCTCTTTCAAGAAAAACAGTCAAAGAGGGGAACTTCTAGATCAATTCATTCTCCTACCTTCCCCTTTACCCCCACACCCAGGGGCAGTGCCCGCACTGCCTCGTCAGGAGGGCACTGCCGCAGAGCTAGGAGACCCGAGTTATCAGGTCCAGACCCTCCAAGGTCGCTCAGTGAGAGCCACAGGTCCCTTCTCCTCTCTGTAAAACGAAGGTATTGATCAGGTGCCTCCTGTTTCTTCCCACTGTTCAGATTTAACTGATGGTTTCTGATACACCTCTTGCCTCTGTGATACTGGTTTATGGGCACAAGCAAAAAGCACGCTCTCTCCTTTCCGCCTGTTAGGCTCTGCAGGTACGCCATCAATAACATGGAGGCAGAGCCCAATGTGACCATCACATCTGCAGGCTTCGGGGAGAGAATGCGGAGGAATGCGTGTGCTCGATCTGCCCGTATCTACCTGGAGGCCAGCGGCCACTTTTCACGGCGGGGGAGTGAGTCAGTGGAACCATGTCTGGTAGCGCATGGCCCCCAAACCACAGAGCGGCCCTGTATATTCTTTCGGGCTCACCAATGGCAGCGGGTCCCCACTTTCATGCCTCCAAGGAGGAGGAGACAGCGTCCCTGCAGACGACTGTCTATGACTAGGAAGTAGGGGCTCCAATAGTTACCATGACGTTTGCTGCTTGGTTTGCCTCCTCTGGAAGTCTGTGTGGCAGAGCTGCAGGAGTGCAAAGTTTTAGGAAGTTAGGCACGTCATAATTCAGGGGCTTCGGGCAGCGACCGGAGACCACAGGTGTCCGGCTTCAAGGTCACTGTTGAGCCCGGCAAATAGGTTAGGGAGGAAACGCATTTTTCAGGTAGAAGAAATAAAAGTTATTTTTGAATGGCAGCATATGCCCTCGATCTGTACACTAAGGAAGATAACTACAGAGATTAGAATTCTCCCCGTCCCCACTCCTGACTCCTGGGACATCCTTCCCGGGGTCATTGCAGGGCAGCCGCAGGCTTCAGGCAGAGCCCCGTGCTGTCTCTCCCCCTGCAGCTACTCACCTGGGCGCCCTGAAACCGCTGTGGTCTGTGGGAGGCCTGCTTTCCGGCTCAGGGCGAGGGAGTGTGGGTGGCCCTCCTGCACTGTGATGAGTAGGGAGTAAATGGCCAGGGCAGCCTTCTCCTGTCTCTGTCCCACAGTGTCACGTTTCTTCGTTCCATGGTGAGTGAGAGACTGCAAGTGTGGTCTCACTCAGAAAGGGACAGGTCCTAAAAGAGGCATCACCTCCACTGGGGAGAGAACTGGGGGGGAGAGAGGGTCCGGGATGACTTCCACTTTGTCCAGGGACGGGGGAAGGAGGGAAGGTCTGGCACGTGCCGCTCATTACTGCTGCCTTCTGACTCAGCCTGAGGCCCCCGACTGTACCTCCCCCCATGCCTCTACCTGCAGCCGCCTCCCACCGTCAGTATGGGCGATGTCAGCAAAGGCAGGTGTGAGCTAGCATGACCACGTGGCTGGACACGAATGGCGGTGACTTGCCCCTAAAGTCTGGCCAAAGGTCGGCTCGCATCTCAGGAAGGAGAGCCCAGGCCAGGGAGAGGACTATGCCAAGGACAACACAGGACAGAAGAGCACCCACCCCCCAACATGGTGACCAAAGAAAGCGCTAGAAACAGAAATGGGGGAGGAAGCAGAGAGTACTAAAAACTGGAGCAGGAAGACTTGAAAAGCTGCCAAGAAGATTATGTAGGAAGTTCAGGGACCCTGACCAGCAGATGATGGGAACTGAGGAGGCTATAACTGCTGAAACTCTGCACACAGACTAGGTCCTCAAAGCATTCAATAACAATAATGGCAGCCATCATGAAGCGTCTACCATCTCGCAACCTATACTTACCTTATCTAACTGAACCCCCAAAGCTTTTGCTAGATAATATTGTTCTCATTTTATAAAAGAGAAAACAAAGACAAACAAGGGGGAACTTGTCAATGTCAGATGGTGAGTGAGCGGCAGAACTGAGGACTATCGGACTTCAGAGCACATGCTCTTTCCATACAAGCTGCCCTGATTCTGCCCAGATTCAATTTCTTGGGCTAATTCACTGATGTTACAATACAAGCCTAAGGACTAGGACGGAACTCTTCGTATAGCTAATTCTGTACACTCTCTATAATATCCTACCACCTTAAGTAAGATGTTGATTCAACAAATGGTCCTGTGAAAATGGGACATCCATATGCAAAAAACGAGCCTTGTACAAAAATTAACTCAAAATGGATTGAAGACCTAAGTGCAAAACCGAAAACTAGAAAATGTCTAATAGAAAACAGAGAAAAATCTTCTCTTAGATTAGGCAAAGATATTTTATTTTTTTATTTTTTTTTTAACTTTTTTTTTTAATGTTTTATTTATTTCTAGGAGAGAGAGAGAGAGAGACAGCGTGAGCAGGGGAGGGTCAGAGAGAGAGGGAGTCACAGACTCTGAAACAGGCTCCAGGCTCTGAGCTGGAAGTCAGCACAGAGCCCGACGCGGGGCTCGAACCCACGAACCGCGGGATCATGACCTAAGTGAAAGTCGGACGCTTAACCGACTAAGCCACCCAGGCGCCCCATAGGCAAAGATATTTTAGATATGGCATCAAAAGACTGATCCCTAAAAAATATACTGAAGAAGGGACTGCATCAAAATTTAAAACTTCCGCTGTTTAAAAGACTGTCAAGAGAACAAAAAGCCAAACCACAGACAGAAAAAATAATTCACGAAGCATATAACATACCTGATTTTATAAAAAGAAAAAACTTGTGTACAGAATAAAGAACTCGAGACTTTAGAAAGATGATACAACTTAGACACAGCTAGATTACACACACATCCCACATCAGTGAGAACATGACCCAAAGACTAGAAGGAAAAGAGTAGGAAGGGCAGAGACATGGTTGGGAGCAAAACACATGCACGAGACTTCTCAAGAGGGAGGGACCCGTGTTTTGCAGAGAGGGACGTCAGCAGACCCCCACACAAGGCACCCCAAGCACAGGGGACCCACGGGGGGGGGGGGAGATGAATCCCCAAGACATTAGGCCTTGAAAACCAGAGAGGCCTAACTTATAGTCTTACAATCAGTGGAGCTTAACACCTGAAGCTTTAAAAAGCAGGGGGCGTGGCCCTGGGAGAGCTGGGACTCAACAGGAAACTGAGTCCCTGCCCCTAAGAGGCAGCATGACGAACAGCATAGAGGAGGAAGGTTTATTTACTAGCCTCAGAGCTTGTGCTGGAGGGGGCAGGGATCTTTGGAGACTGCGGAGTAAAGCGCTGGTGGGTGTATTTCCCTCCCCTGTCTCTCCCCCCTACCCCATCCCCGGGGTCTAGATACAAGGACACATGCAGAAGCCAGCACAGCACCACCACTGTCCACCTAGCTTGCTAACAGCACACCCTGCCCCTGTGTGCTTCTGCGGATCTGCCACCTCCAACTCAGTGGGGCTGAGCGGGAGTGTCCCCGGCTGCTGGAGGTCCCTTCCCCCTCCCATACACCCCCGTGGAGCCCATCCAAAGCAGTACCACAGGCGTGGCAGTGTGCACACAGCCCCGACATGGGCCAGCACCACTCCAAAGTGAGTCCTGCCCAGGGGAGAGGGGACGATACCCACACATACCAGTCCCCTTGCAATCCCCAAAGTGGGCTGGGGCCAGACATCTGGTCTGACTGTAGGTCCCGCCCACCAACTAAAGCTTCTCAGGGACAACACAGGGAAAGCGGCCTGCAGTCTGGTCCTACTGCATCTCTGGCAAACACCTGGTCTGACTTGACTCAGGCCCAAGGCGGCCCCATACTGGCCCACTAACAACACAGGGACAAAACCCTGCCCACAACAGGCAAAGAGAGCCACTGCAGGCAACGGGGCTGAAGGCAAAGGAGGCTCAGCCACAACAGGGCACACGCACCACACAGGAGACACCCCTGAAAAGCCAGGTTCTGGTGAACGGGGGACACTGCACTGCAAGGCACTACAGGACATCTTCTTCATCCAGCCATTACTTTCGAGAGCAGTAGATGTATCTGGCTTTCCTAATACACAGAAACAGACACAGAGAGTTAGGCAAAATGAGGAGACAAAGGAATATGCCCCAAGTGAAGGAATAGGACAAAATCACATCAAGGGATTTAAACCAAACAAAGATGAGTGATATATCTGACAGAGAACTTAAAGTAATGGTCATAAAGGTACTCACTGGACTTGAGAAAAGAGTGGAGGATCTCAGTGAGACCTTCAACAAACAGAAAACATAAAAAAGAACCGAAGAGAGATGAAGAACTCAATAAATGAAATAAAAAAATACACTAGGGGGAATACATAGTAGATGAGAAGAAGCAGAAGAATGGATCAGCGACCTGCAGGACACAGTAATGCAAAGCAATCAAGCTGAATAGGAAAGAAAAAAACGATAAAAAATGAAAATAGATGAAGGAAACTAAGTGACACCACAAGCATAGTAAGAGTTGCACTAGAAAGATCCAGAAGAGGGATAAAAGAGGGCAGAAAAATTTTCTGAAGAAGTAATAGCTGAAAACTTCCCAAATCTGGGGAAGGAAACAGAAATCCAGATCCAGGAGGCACAGAGAACCCCCAACAAAATCAGTGCAAGGAGGACCGTACCAAGATACTTAGGAATTAAAATGGCCAAAAGTGGTGATTAAAAGAGAATTTTATAAATACAAAGAGAAGGGGCACCTGAGTGGCTCAGTCAGTTAAGTGTCTGACTTCAGCTCAGGTCATGGTCTCATGGTTCATGAGTTTGAACCCCACGTCAAGCTCTGTCCTAGGTCAGAACCCAGAGCCTGCTTCAGATTCTGTGTCTTGCTCTCTCTGCTCCTTTCCCCTTGCGCTCTCTCAGAAATGAATAAACGTTAAAAATATTTTTTAAAAAATAGAAAGCGAAAACAGTTATATACAATTGTAGGAAACCACAGAACGCCTATCAGCTGATTTTTCAGCAGAAATTTTCCAAGCCAGAAGGGAGTAGCATGATACATTCAAAGTACAGAAAGATAAAAGCCTAAAGCCAAGAATATTCTATTCAGCAAGACTATCATTTAGAATAGACGGAGAGATAAGGAGTTTCCTAGGCAAGAAAAAGTTAAAGAACTTCATTACCATATAACCAACCCTACAAGAAATGTTAATGGGACTCTGAGTGGAAAGACCATAAGCAAGAGTAAGAAAAGTAAAAGCACAAAAGCAGTAAAATGAAGTGTATCTATAAAAATTAGTCAAGGGATTCAGAAAATAAAAGGATGTAAAGCATGAGACCTAAAATTGGGGCAGGGGGAAGAGAATAAAGAATGGGTTCAAATGTAAGTGACCATCAACTTGATACAGACTGCTTTAGAGGCTCCCTGGGAGGCTTAGTCAGTTAAGTGTCCAGTTCTTGATTTTGGCTCAGGTCATGATCTCACAGTTCATGGGTTTGAGCCCTGCATCAGGCTCTGTGCTGACAGT